ATCATCCTCTTCAACAGCATTTGGTGCAGAAACGAAAATTGGTTCGCTAGGTGTGCATCCAAATTGTTGCCAGATTTTATGACTAGATGATTCGTTGTCAGTTTGATGAAGATCAATTTTTATAAGGCGATCAAATAGAAAGTGAGAATCCGAATCTGAACGTGAGACACCTAATTTAACATAAGAATCAAAAATTAGACTCAATATAACATTACATTTTAAATTTGGTTTTTATTTATATAGATTTACCATAAACGTATCGATACTTTTTCATATAATATCTTGAAAAATTGGCCACTGGAAGTTCAACATTCAAGTCTTCAGGCATTGCGAACGCAATTTCTGCATTCGGAAAATTTCCACTACCATATTTCAAATTCACGCTATCTAAATTTTTTGAAACATTGCATAGCTTATACCTATGTAATCTACCTAAATCGAATTTTGGTAGTAGTTTTTCAGCATCATTTTCGGAAGATTCCAAAAGTCGGTCTATTGTAAGTTGGAAAATAATACTATTATTTTTATATTGAGGTAAATCAATAATTATATCATCATCTTCATCATATGCATTTATGGTATGGAAACAGAAGAACGTTGGTGAGGTATAAGTTGCCACATGTTTTTTAAGTTTACGATCAATAACGTAGAAATGCGCCTTCTTGTTAGGATCCCATGGGACAAATGATCGGATAAAATTGCGCTCCCATAATATTTTCGCACCATTCATCACAAAATCACATTGCCTTTAGAAAATTTCATATATTAAAAGGTATATGATTAGATAAATGCATGCTCTAGTCATTCGAATCTCATTAAAGATGTTGTCCAAATGAATATATATATTTAAGTTTCACTTGTTAATTTAGGCAACATCTTTAAATAAATTCAACAATCTAACGCAGAAATTAATTGTATCGCTAGGAATTAATTTCTGTGTTATATGCAGATAATATTTTTTTTTTAATAAATACCAATGAATCAAAATAACATATTTTTTCGTAATAGAAAAACTATGAATATACGCTAAATTTGATGGAATTGTAGCAAGAATAGTCGTAATAGGTTTTCCGGTTTCTTCATCAGTTTTGATAGAAAATACATTATACTCAGATTTAGGACCAGCATTAGGAACAAAAGAAAAATATTCTCTTGTTTCTGCATCATAATGAGAATGGGCCGGTGCCATAGGTCCAGATAAATCTGGATGAA